CACTTTAATTATCTCGAAATGATTTATTGATTTTTCCGGAGTTTTGTTTTCATAACAACAGGTATTTTAATATAATTTCAATTTATTTTGTTTCATCAAAATTGACTTTATTTTCTGTTATATTTGGTGTTAGTTTGCACTGAATTTTCCAATAGAAAGCTGAGAATTATATGCATTGTGTAAGGAATGGGCGGTCGATCAGAATATAGGCGAAGTAGTTATACAATCATAGAAATGATGGACCGGTACTAATAGTACCACTTTTTCTACAGTGCTTTCAGTTACGAAGTATTAATGCGATTGAAACACATTTAATAGTATTGTATTTTGTATTGTATTAAAAATATTGGAATCCACTGAGAAGTATAGGAAATGTTGGTTTTCGGGTCATTCAGCTATTTTGAGATTTCCGCGAAACTATTGTTTCCAAAGTTGACAACACTTTCTGCTTTCCCTTTCATTTGAACAAATGATCTGATCTTCAGTTATGGTCGACATCACAAATCTTATCCTCGTTTCTATTAAAATAATTTTTTACTCCATATTCTCCTATCTGTTCCTCGCATTTGCACCGATTCTCTTAGACATAGAACCAAGCTCATTTAAGTAAGTATTCACTCGATTCTTCAGTTTTTTCCATTAGAGTAATTGATGATGAAATTCAGTATAACTCTGCCGGAGACATTTGACGGCCCACTCACAGCTAATAATAAACTCTCAGAAGCTGACCATTTGTTTGTGAATGAAATAAAAGGCCCGGAATCATTGGCCGTTTGGAAAGGTGTTGAAATTTTTGTATTATTTGAAAATCATATAAACATTATATTAACATCTTAATTTTAAAAATATTTTTAACATATAGTAATTTTAACAGAATATTTATCAGTTATTTTACTGAAAATTCATCTTTTTAAAACATTTTAAAACAACAGGTGATGTCTACACCGGTTTATCGGACGGGCGTATTGTTCGCATTCGGAAGGATAGGTATAAAACTGTGGCCCAATTCGGTGATCCCGCGAAGTGTGTTAATCCATGGGAAATGGAAAAATGCGGCCGTCCTTTAGGTCTATTTAA